ATTTCAAGAGCAATGCAAGTAGTGAGATGCAAGGGCGTCTCACTGCACAGCTTCAGCAAAAACGCTCATTTTGGAGGCTATGCGTATGTTCTTTCTTTCATATTCTCCCTTCTTGCCCAATACAAAAATTCATCTATTACATCTCATACACAGAGCTCTGTTTCAGGAAGGTCAGTAGCACAGGTGTGATATTTGACAAACTGCTCGTGGGCTGCTGGGAAGGACCAAATGAAGGATTAGCAGTGTTTCTATATTTTATTTTTTTTCTTGGGGTGGTGAGCAAGTGTCAGGGTATGACCTGCTGCTACAGCTAACAGTTCAGCTGCTGCCTGCATAGGGAATGGCAGGTGGACATGCGCTTCTCACTTCTAACTCAGTATTGCTCTTTACAGATGTTCAGGAGTATTTTGTGGTTATACCTGTTCAATAAAGGTATTGTCTGCTACAAACAGCAAAATAAACCCTTTGCCCATTAGGAATTAAACCACCTTTTGCAATGGAATTTCCTGCAAGCAGAAGTACCCCAATAGTTGACCTGTTCAGACAGAGCAAAAGTGAACTACATGGATGATAATCTATTTAATTTTTAAGAAGTTTTATCTCCAGTTGTTTTCACTAATTGAATTCAATTACTTTTTTTTATAAAGGTATACTATAAATTTATTTCTTCATTTATGGCATAAATATGTGGAAAAGTATGTGTTGCTACAAATATCAATGTAAATGATATTCTTTGAAATTTATTTCCTCAGATCTAAAGACACAACTGCTATGATTTTCAGCAACTAATTCCTATAAAAATCCATAGAAGTTAGGCACTTCATACCACTGAAAATTTGACCCAGGAGTAATTACTATAGTGCAGGTATCACACTGAGGGCCAGAGTATAACAGCTAGTCGTTCACTTTAACCAGATACCATTGGAAGAATACTTAGTAGTGATTCTCAACAGTAGAAAGAAGGCTGGAAGGAATAAGGCATGTAACTCGCTTCATTGTTACTTTATTTCACTTACTTTCCAACTTCAGAAATACCAGTTAAAACATTTCATTAAAATGCTCCAGACAATAATTATAGCCTGTCAGAAGCACTGCTATGCTTAAACATAAGAAGCACTTGTCAATTACAGCTTAGAAGCTGATAGAAAACCAGGGTCTGTCTCTCTTCTCACAGATGTAAAAGATCTATTTGCTACTGTTCTACCTGGATTGACTCATCTGCATTAAGCACAGCAGTATTTAGGCTGCCAGTTCCTAGAGTGGAGGCTCACACTGTCTGCTAAAAGGGGCTGACAAACAGCTCTGCAGAATAAAAAAGAAGGACGCTAAGGGTCTGGTGGGGAACCAACTGCGCTTGGTAGTCAAGAGTGGAGTAGTCACAGTTTGCTCTCACACTTGCTATTCCCAGAAATCTGCCCTGCAGAGGACAAACAGCAGCAGGTGGGAATGACTGACCAAGCACAGGGGGGACTTAGTAAGAAGAGTAGGGAACAACGTACAAATGGACTATTATGTCACCTTTAGTTGGCAAAAAAAGGGTAACCATCCTCCTCTGTTTCCTAAGCGTTAATGTACTGATGTTTTTAGAAAATACTTATCTTGCTAAAAGAAATTAAGTAAATTTTGCCCTTTTATATCCACAAAACCCAACTGATGGCATGTTCAGGTTTGACTTAAAGCAGAACTGGTTTTAAAATAATGTAGTTGACAAGTGTAGCAAATGGAAAGGGCAAACAACTTGAGCCGTGGAGCAATGGTAGCCTGCGAAAAGAGATGCCTGATATGGAAAGGGCTGTGGGAACAGGCAGGATGTAGGGGATGTGGGACTCGGGATGTCTCCTAGTTTTGGAAGGGAAGAAAGCATCAGGACACAACAGTTCTGTTTGCAGAGATGGTGGGAAAACGAGGCAAAGGAACATTAGGGTGAGTTGTAAGAGAATGGGGAAATAAGCATGAAGTGGGATGGCTAAATGCAGGATGAATCCCATTAATATTAAAAATTTGCTTCATAAGTACCAAGCTCAAATCTCAGCCAGATACTAAAAAGTAACCAAGAAATTACTAAAATATGTGTAAAGGAAGCCAAACCTTGGCAAGAGTTAGCAGATGTGGAGAAGCAGAACTCTCCATAAGCAGAGTTGCTTCACTGGGTTAGCTTTAACCAATGACATTAAATCATCCAAAAATGCCAATTCTTTCCTAACAAAAAACTTTTTTTTAAGTAGTACTTGCAGAGAGAGGGGAGCAATAACATGGAAAATGTTTCCGCGTGAGTCTAGCTACTACCCTAAGCCAGTATTGCACTTAGGTAGACCTGTGCCTTTTCAAAATCCAAACACCAGTTTCAAAGCCAGCTACTGGAGAGAATTCTGCACTCCCACATTACTGTCTTTTACCATCGCACAACTGACTGGCACAACCTACTCAAACCTTACCTTCAGTAACCGAACTGTTTAGCTAGCCTGTTGTTTACTTTCCTGTACAGACTGCCTAATTTTGCATTGTCATAAGGACTGGAAAGGGGAAGTGTCTGTAATCACACTGGGTGGCTCCTTCTGTGTTTGTTTTCACAAGGCAGCTTGCAGGCAGAACTCTGATGATAACCTCTGCGTCTGGCATATCTACCGATGCTGCTTGTCAAACTGGCCCGGATCTGCTCTTCTCAAGTACTCCAGCCTCTGAATACTAGGATTTCCAAATACTTACATTAAACCCCATGCCAACGAGCCACAATCTCACCCCATCAATTTATGATTTTTTGGTGCAAGTCAAGGCAGAACTCAATCTTAATGCCTAACTGAAGCTAGCCTGGAGCAGATAGTATTTAGCTTTTTTCCCCAAAGATACAATCCTAGTGCTATTACTTTTGCTGAATAGAAAAGCTATCCAAGTTCAAATCAGTGCTTTAAAGAAAAATTGTAGGAAATATTAGTTTGGGGGTGTGGGTGGGAAATATGTTCCTTGATTTGACTGGATTCAAGTGAACACTTTAAGTCCTCCCAGCTTATTTCCCCTTAACCTCTCAATGAATTCTCTGAAGCAGTTGCGTCTCCTTTCAGTTGATGCAAATCTCCCAGTCAGCATCAACACTCAGGGCTAAATTTTCCAGCGTCAGTGCAGAGGTCTTCGTATCGTATGTGAAAACCACTTCTTTTTCTTTCCCATCTGAACAGGACAAGAGAGTTTACTATATGATTTAAGAAGAACCCTTCTGAAACACAGTTACACATGACTCCCCCCCCCAGTTTTTAATTCAGACTGTCCCTGCTATGGGTGGAAAGGATTGATTAAAAAAGAAATAGTAGTCAAACCTGCCCAGTATACACATAAGAATGCAGCAGAATTGGAAAAACTATTTCTTTTTTTCTGACCTTTCAAACTATGGTACATCAAACTATGGAACTATTCAAGGATCTTTCTGAAAAAAATAACCCTTGTTTCAGCATAGGTTTTCCTCCAAGCACCCTAAAAGTCCTTGAGATTGACAGGTGGAGACAGAATGTCCACATCCACACAATTCCTGAAGTGAAGGGACGTGCTTGGAAAGCAGCCAGAAACGATAAGCCCTTTCTGTACATGCTACTACCTATCCATATGGGATCCCTCACAACTTCTAGAGATCCCCACATAGTCACAAACTCCAGACATTTTTGAATGAGCAAGAGAACAGAAA